TTATCACGTGAAGTAAGCCAGCATTTTAATCAGGTACATGTGGCTGGCCGTTCTCACTTACGTTAACTCCTCCCCCCTTCCCCCCTCCTTTTTTCCCCTTTTTAATTTGCTTTTGCTCAGTTCCTTACTAATGCTGCTTTCAAGTTGTCATCTTCCTTTTCTCCATATCACAGAAATAACATTAAGAGTAACCAATGATGCAGTGTTCCTTTTAACACTCAAACAGGGTCTTTAAAGTTTCACGTGTACCAAAGACAATACACAGAATCTAGGCATGCTTTTATTTTTGTTTCTAAGTAATTCACCTGGGGATTTTGATCAGCTGTGTCCCAAGATAGTAAAGAAGCCAGTAGCTTTAAAAAAAAAAAAAAAACAAAAAAAAACCCAGCCCCCCTACCCCCCAAAACAACCAGACCAAAAAAGAAAAACCTCACTAGGCTGCAGCCACTCTCAAAATCTTAGTGGTAACATTGCCCATTTCATCAGCGAACAGTCCCTGTAGGAATTAAAGGAATGCTTCATCTCTGCTGTGAGTTTCAGTACTCTGGGGTCACGGTAAAGGGCTGACAATCTTTTTTTCTGGTGTTTAACTAAAGCAGAATAGGTATCACAGATGGTGTGTATATTTTTGGGGGAGGCTGAAAGTCTACTAACAAAAGCAGAAAATACTAATTCAGTAAAGTTGCACTGGTGTGTGTTTTTTGGTTTTTGCATGCTTTCGATTTTGAGAGCTGTTGACAGTTTGTGCATGTGATATTGTTTTGCTAATACTTACATTAAGCAAGTATTTTTTTAAAATGCAAAATGTGTCAGCACTTTTTGCAATTGTAATATAATCTGCTGCTCTGTATATATTAGATATTCCTGTGAAGTATCTTTTTTTCTACAAGTAAGCAATTCAAGCTTGGGAGAAGTGGTACAGTTCTGTTGTTTTGCATAGCACATTAATTTATTAATCTGTTTTCTAGCCTCTCAGTAGCGTACCACCGTCAGGGGGACCTCCCACCGGCACTGTTCAGTTCTACAACCCTTCTCATTTTGCACATGTGAGTGAAATCCTTCTGTTGCTGCCTGGGTTCATTGACCACGACTATAAAGTTACCTAGCTAAATATTACCTGTATAGCTGTTAATTGCAGTGAACCTCCTTTCCTTTGGGAAACTGCCTTCCCAAGTCTGCTTCAGCATGGCCGCAAATACCAGCTGCCATTTTTTTTATCATGCCTGCACTCCTTCTGTTCTGCCTTTGCATTCCACCTCTTACACAGCCTCTCTTCTCATTCCTACCGACGTCGCTCATCTCTTCCACACCACCTTTTGAGTCCTGTCTATCCTTCTTCATCTTTCAGGTCCCCATCTACACCTCTCCTGATTCCACAGCACCAGCTCATTTAACCTACTACATATTTTCTGGCATATTTCCCTTTGTTTGGCCTGTCTCCCTAGTGTTTGGACACATGGTGAGATCAAGTCACTGAGCTTGTTTTTAGACTGTTCCTGCCATGCAACAGGGCCCCCCTCTCCCATCCTGGTCATCACCTGCGCTGGGCAGAATCAAGCTAGGTGTTGGAATAGGCTTCTAAAATACAGGACCCGGCATTTTAACGCTCATGTCATTTGACAAGCGCATCATCTGCCTTGTGGAAGTCATTGCAGATCTTGTACTTACACAGTCCGCTGTGTGGTAACGTGGCTGTTTTAATCCTGCATGTCACATTCGGTACAGACCAATCCAGTTCCCGTTTAAGTCGTTTGAAATTGGATCAGTGCCTTAAGCCTGTTGTGTCCAAAGCAAATTGCTGCTTTACCTTGGAGAGAAAACACTAGTCAGATTTTTTTTCAGGGGTTTTACATTCAGTAGCTAAAGGGGCGGTTAAGTTGCTTGGTGGTTCATTGTTTATTTTTCTCTCTCTAAATCTTTTCAGTCTCCTGCACCCAGTGGAAGTTCAAGGATGGGAAGAATTGGACAGAGAAAATACCCAACGTTGAAATAGACAATGGCGGAGTGCTTGGGACACTTTCATGCTAGTTCTGGATATACAAAGACCAACTCAAATTTTATGGCACGTGGTTATCAGTACTATCTTGCAATTGATATGACACTAATTTAATGCTGGCTGATTGCTTTTCATGGGTCTTCCTACTTGCAGCTCACCTACATGAATCATTACCAAGCAAGGGTGTAAAAAAAAAAAAAAAAAAAAAAGTCCTTCAAAGGTGATTAGGTCTTACTTTCCACTGGGGGTGAAAAGGTGGACAGGGACAGAAAACAGTTACTGTCTGTTACAAAAACCATCTCGACACTGCATACACAGTTCTCCATTGAGGTTTTTTTTAAACCTCATGCAACTTAAAGCCACATTAATTTCTAAGGACTCCCTAATTTCTGAGGGATGCCTCCCTCCCAATGGAGGACACATGCCCACACGTTAACACCCGACTTGGGCCTGAAAAGGACTGTGCACATTTTAATACATGGGAAAACAATACTGATGTTTGTCAGTATATGAAGGTTGAAGACACACATCTGAGAAATGCCTCACATGCAATTTTTTTGGGAGACGGGGCCACAGCTCATCCAAATAAATTGACCTATATTGAATGAAAACTGTGACTGTAATAAATCTAAAATGAATCTGATCTGGATCTTATCTAGTATGTATGTAGTTTGTGTTTTAGACTACTTGTAAAACAAATTGTATATTCTGAAAGAAGCTCTCTGTATAATAGCCGATGCTGTACTATTTCTGACGAGTGAGTGAGTGTTCTTTTTAAGTGCAATATGGTTACTTGCTTTCTCTCAGACTCTTGGCACCATGTAATTAGGGTGGTAACAGCTTGAAAGTTGTTGAAAAATGTTCTTGTTGAGTGCCAGAATCCTCTGTCCTTCAGCTAAACTAACTAAGGTCTTAAATAGTTAACAGATGATTTTCAAACCATACTAAGTTAGGTAAACTAGACCTCTCTGCCAGCGGACTTGGAGAAAAGCTTTAGGTTTTAACATAGAAAATTCTAAAAACAATTGAGGTGCAAACGTGAATTGAAAAGGCAAAATGATCCACCCAGAGAAAATACACTTGAAAATATTTATTGAATCATTAGGTCACATTTTCTTTAGGATTTGCCAAGGAAGCTGATTAATGTTTGCAGCTCTGCCCACAACTAGAAATAATGTAGATGTGGAATTGCTGCTGTCGTCCCTGTTTCTTTTCTTTTTTGTTTTTTTTTCTTTTCCTTGGGTAACATGACCAGCTTTCTGAAATCTGGACAGCCTTAAGTACGTTCCAAAGGGATAACATATGGGCTTGAGGTGTGTTGTTTGGAAGAATTCGTAGCCTCCCGATGACGGTCCGTGCTCTAAATCCTCGAGTCGGTCAGCAGCGATCGATGTGTTTTGTTTTTTTTCCCTCTCCTAACTCAAAAGCCCTGTTCAGCTACTGGGCTTCCTTGGGTTCAGCCGCGCCGCTGACGTGTCTTTCAGTAGAGACTGCCAAGCATCTTAACTCAAAGAACGCTTCCTCTGAGCTGGGAGCTGCTATCTTTCCTAAGTGTTAGATTTGACACTGTAAATTCTTAAATAAAATATTTTGCGCTCTGGAGCACTTTCACACTTCACTACTTCCTGTGGTTCTTGCTCAGCCGAGGAGAGACCCCCCCCTCCAGAGCCCGGCCCCTGCTCTCCTCGGTCCGCGGCCGGGATGCCGAGGCGGGGACCCAGCGGGGCGCACGGGTGCGCTCATCTCTCCCTGCCTCTGCGTCCTGCTCCACCCGCCTGCGTGCCCGCTGCCTTCTGCTGCGGAGACCGAGTCGTTGGACTCGGTGCTCCCTTCTCTTCTGCAAGCTTTCGGGTGCGAGCGCCCGGCAAGAGGTCGGGTTGACCCAAAGAACCTCGTCCTTTGCCCATTGCGGGGGCACCCCGTGCTGCAGGTGCCCCCTCACCCCGCTCCTGGCCCAGGAGCTCCCTGCCCCGCACGGGGGTTTGAGCTCCTACCGATGCACTTGGGTTCATCTTCGCTTCCAGCGCTGCCTGAGCCAGGCAGCCCCTAGCCCTCGGGGCTGTCCTGCCAGAGCCTGCTGCTGCCCCCACCCCGCCTGCCAGGGGGCCGCCTGGTTGCTAGGGGCGGGCCTACTCCGGTTGCTAGGGGCGGGTCAGACCTACCCCGGTTGCTAAGGGCGGGCCTACTCCGGTTGCTAAACCCAGGTCTACTCCGGTTGCTAGGGGCGGGTCAGACCTCCGGTTGCTAAGGCCAGGCCTACTGTGGTTGCTAAGGGCGGGCCTGCTCCGGTTGCTAAACCCGGGTCTACTCTGGTTGCTAGGGGAGGGTCAGACCTACTCCGGTTGCTAGTGGCAAGCCAGGCGTACTCCGGTTGCTAAGGCCGGGCCAGGCGTATTCCGGTTGCTAGGGGCGGGGCGGGTTTACTCCGGTTGCTAGCGCCAAACCAGGCCTACCCCGGTTGCTAGGGGCGGGGTGAACCTACTCCGGTTGCTAGGGGCGGGGCGAGTTTACTCCGATTTCTAGCGCCAAGTCAGGCCTACCCCGGTTGCTAGGGGCGGGGCGGGCCTACCCCAGTTGCTAGGCCCGAGCCGGGCCTGCTCGGGGCAGCGGAGGCCGCCGGGCCTGCAGCGGTGAGCGAGGCCGGGGCCGGCGGCGCCCGGGTGTTTTCCCTCAGGCTGGGCAGGAGGGAGTCTCCTGGGCCCCCCGTGTGACATGAACCAAGCCCGCCTCCCTGCCCGCGGCGCGTGGGAGCTGGCGCGGGACGGGCCGCGCCTC